GAAATTGAGTGAGATGTACATCGGTTTAGACTTTGAGTTTATTTTCCTTCTGGGTGTTCCTGTCACTCCCCGGGCCTGCCAGCTTGGCAGCTTGTGGTGTTAAACCACACTGAACTTCGTTGTGGCAGCTGCCAAACATGTGGACAGCAGCCCAACTCCAAGGTTGGGCAGGACACCCCCAGAATTATATATGGTCGCCCCATCCTCCCCTTGGGCTCAGCATCCTTTCACACCACGTTGCAGGACAGCTCCAGGGTCTGGCTGTCAGGTGCACCTGTGCGCCCATGCCTCCAGCAGAGCTTCACTTGTGAGGGCCAGCAAAGCCACCACGGGGCCAACACGATCATGGAGAACAGGGCCGGTCACCTGCATTCCGCATCACCGCAAAACTCAGGAGCAATCTGTTATAACAGAAACGGCTTCCGTTAAGACGGGCTCCCAGCCTATTTATAGTCGGGGGGTGGCTTGTGCGGGTTCTGACTGCTGCCTGATGTTTAACCAATCAGAGAACTGAAAGGGGTCTCCTTATTTACATACATGGCAATATCCAATCACACGGCAGATACAGAGGACGCCATTTGAGCTCTGTGCCTATAAATACCGCTCTCACGAGTGGGTGCTGCTCTCTTCCAATTTGCTTTGCCACCGAGCTCTGGCCATGCCGGGGCTTGCTCCGAGGAGCGCCGCCACTTCTAAAAAGGGCTGTAAGAAAGCTGCTTCTAGAAGTCAGAAGAAGGAGGGCGGTGGGGAAAGCGCAAGAGATGCCACCAAGAGTGCTGGTTACAACTACGAGGTGCCGAAGCAGGGTCACTCAGATGCAGGTGTCTCTTCTGAGGCAGGGGGCTCCGTGAATACGTTCGTCAAGGACATCTTCGAGCGCATCCCGGGCGAGGCCTGGCGCCTGGCGCACTGCAACAAGCGCCCGACCATCACGTCCCGGGAGATCCAGACGGCCATGCGCCTGCTGCTGCCTCCTGAGCTGGCCAAGCACTCGGGGCCCGAGGACACCAAGGTCACCACCAAGTACACCAGCGCCAAGCGAGCTTGACCAGCTGCCAGATGAACGCCACAATCCAAAGGCTCTTTTCAGAGCCACCTACAATTTCTAATGGGCTGCACGCTGATCACTTACCGGGTTTGGGGGCCTGTGTGGCATGCAGGAAGTATGCTTGCTGGGTCGGACAAGCTCACGTTTACATCTAATGTACTGTGACTAGTCTTAGTGGTTCACCTAGCAGTACGCTCTGAGGGAGCTTTGCGCCACGGTTTCATTGAAACTCCAAGGAAAACGATGTAGAGAAGGCCTCCAAATATAACCCCAGTTCCACCTTGGGTGTTGCTACAGGTGGGCCCCATGGGCCAACAGCTCCTTTTTCTGGGTTGTCCCGCTGTGTCAATCTTCTGAGCCGGGAGAGCCTGGAGCTGTGGACTTTCCGCAAGTTGGGCATGCGAGCGTCGAGGCTGGTTTTCTTCCTCCTTGGGTTGGGCTGCTGGCTCTTGAGGCCCAAAGCCCGGGCGTCTCTTGGTCTGATGATGTCCTCTGAGAGCTTCGCTGAAGTCTGGACTCGGCTCTGTGTGAAAAGAGGTTGACGTAGGAATGTGAACATCTTGTCATTTCAAGTAATTTGTATCTGAACTCAACAATTCGGTCAACCACGGTCAACTGGTAAACAGGAGAAACTGTATCAACTGAATAATGCCCTAGATTTGGCATTATTTAGAATTTATGGGGGGGGGTCACTGTTTAAGGTTTACAAGAACTTAAAATGCCCAATATTCAGGTCAGGACTTGGCTGCAAGATCTACTCTGTCATCATGATCTAGATCTTCCTCCCAGAGCAGATGAGCATTAAGGGGGAAAAAGATAACACACACTGACATGGACTCCCTTAAAAAGGAAGGATCAAAATATTAGTACTTCCAGAAAACTGGAGTGTAGCTGGAATCTTCAATTTGATTAAATGTTTTATTGCCTCTTGAAATTCAGACTGTGTGCACCTATATGTTGGCTCCATAGTTTGCACACCTACTCCTAAGGGTCCCTTCTCCCTGAAGTCCACCCAGAGAGTACTCTAATCCCAGGAAGCACACCTCCCCCAATGTCTCTCCAATGCCTTCTAGATAAAACTGGTAAGCTGGCTGGGTAAGATAAAATTTTAAAGCACCCAGGTTCATTTTCACAGAGCAGACAAAGGGTAAACTGGAAGCTGAGAAACAGTAAAATGGATCTATTAGAGCATGGCTGGCTGTTCCATGGAAAAATCCAGGGGGTCCCTGGCATTCCTGAACTCTTCCCCATCCACCTCTAAWTCAAGCTGGGCTTCCTGAGAATGAGCTGAGCTAGTAGAAGAGCAGCTCTGATCTTCTGCAAGGCTTCCCTCCTGTTTTCTTGTCATTTTTGTCTGAAGTTCATCAAAATCATTTACTTCYGAGGCCCTTCTACACTGCAGAAGCCAAGGCCTAACACAGATTCCACAAAAGCTAATATTCTGCACTGTCAGCCCAAGTCACCAATGTGGGACCTCTCAGGCAGGAGCCTAATTCTATAGTTTGATGCCAGCTACAGAGTTGTTTTCTCCAATTACATTTTCCAACCTAATTTGGGAGTGCCTATAACACAATTATTTTTTTACTGACATAAACTTTAAAGTTTTACAGGAGAGTGTTCTTTCCTGTGAAAGCAAGGACCTACCATGATATGTAAACTAGAAATCTGTCTACTGACTCAAGGAGATGAAATTTTCTCTTGCCTCAAAAGCTAGGTGATTAAAAAAAACTGAACCCTTCCTATAAAATTAACTGTTGACCTGTGAATAGTGTAGTTTTAGATTAAAATGTATGCTCTTTTTGTTTCCCAGAAAGATTCAAGCTATGTTGTATACCGAAAAGTGGTCTCAGTTTTGTGTTACTTAGCAGAAGCAAACACAAAATCTCTCTGGAGGAATAATCCCTCCACCACTGGCAAGGTTCCTGGAGGTAAACATAAAGCATTATCTCACAATCTGAAGTTAAACAATACATCTGGGATGATCCAGCATAAGCAAGAGTCAAGAGAGCCCAAAAGAATTGAATGTCCTTCCCCAGAGACTCAGCTAACCAAATATAAGGAAGAATTGGAGAAATTAAGAAGGATAGAACCCTAAGAATAAACCAATAAACTACTTACAAAGGCCAGGCAGAAATGAGGAAAAGGGGGAGGTGGCAAAAACGTCCCCAAAGCAGAGTCCTTGAAAACAAGACTCAGTGAAAGTGAATTAAGTAGCTGATTATGGTGCTGCTGATTTCTGGAACTGTAAAACAGATTTCTGGCTAAAACAGAATTTCATTGTTCCCAATTCACAAATGGTATGCTGGTTCAACATAGTTGGACAGGTCTGAGTTTTTCTATATTTCTTTCCATGTGTGGCTGAATATCTCATTGTTCACAGATACATGCTGCTTTCCTTAAAGGAAGTACTGTACTCTGTCACTACTAATGTTCATCCAGATCATGTGACTACTTGCTTTGATCAACAAAAGGTGAGTAGAAGTAACATGGAACTTCTTTCTTTTTTACTTATATATGACAGTGGAATGCATTACAATTCTTATTACACATATAGAGCACAATTTTTCATATCTCTGTTTGTATATAAATTCATGTCTTTGTACCTGTACTTTGGCTAATAATGATCATCACATTCCACCATCATTAATAACCCCCTGCCCCTTCCTTCCCTTCCAACCCCTCTGCCCTATCTAGAGTTCGTCTATTCCTCCCATGCTCCTGCTCCCTATCCCACTATGAATCAGACTCCTTATATCAAAGAAAACATTCAGCATTTGGTTTTTTCGGATTGGCTAACTTCACTTAGCATCATCTTCTCTAACTCCATTTACCTGCAAATACCATGGTTTTATTCTCTTTTATTGCTGAGTAATATTCCATTGTGTATATATGCCACATTTTTTTTAACCATTCATCTACTGAAGGGCATCGAGGTTGGCTCCACAGTTTAGCTGTTGTGAATGTGTTGCTATATACATTGATGTGGCTGTGTCCCTGTAATATGTTGTTTTTAAGTCCTTTGGGTACAGACCGAGGAGGGGGATAGCTGRGTCAAATGGTGGTTCCATTCCCAATTTTCCAAGAAATATCTACATTGCTTTCCATATTGGCTGCACCAATTTGCAGTCCCACCAGCAACGTATGAATGTGCCTTTCTCCCCACATCCTCGCCCACACTTATTGTTGTTTGTCTTCATAATAGCTGCCATTCTGACTGGAGATGAAATCTTAGAGTGGTTTTAATTTGCATTTCTCTGATTGCTAATGATGATGAATATTTTTTCATATATTTGTTGATTGATTGTATATCATCTTCTGAGAAGTGTCTCTTCAGGTCCTTGGCCCATTTATTGATTGGGTTGTTTAGCATTTTTAGTTCTTTATATACCTTAGAGATTAGTGCTCCATCTGATGTGTAAGGGGTAAAGATTTACTCCCAAGATGTAGGCTCTCTATTCACCCCACAGATTGAATCCATCCCATTTAATTTGAATCCATCACATGTATTGAATTCTTGATTTTAATTCTTGTGCCTCAGGAGTCTTATTAAGGAAGTTGGGGCCAAATTCCACATGATGGAGATTAAGGCCTACTTTTTCTTCTATTAGACGCAGGGTCTCTGGTTGTATTCCTAAGTCCTTGGTCCATTTTGAGTTGAGATTTGTGCATGGTGAGAGATAGGGGTTTAATTTCATTTTGTTGCATATGGATTCCCAGTTTCCCAGCATCTTTTGTTGAAGATGCTATCTTTTCTCCAGTGTATATTCTTGGCACCTTTGTCTAATATAAGATAATTGTAGTTTTGTGGGTTAGTCTCTGTGTCCTCTATTCTGTGTCATTGGTCTACCAGTCTGTTTTGGTGCCAGTACCATGCTGTTTTTGTTACTATTGCTCTGTAGTATAGTTTGAGGCCTGGTATAGTGATGCCACCTGCTTCACTCTTTCTGCTAAGGATTGCTTTAGCTATTCTGAGTGTCTTACTTTTCCAGATGAATTTCATGATTRCTTTTTCTATTTCTATGAAGAATGTCATTGGAATTTTGATTGGAATTGCATTATATCTGGATAGTGCTTTTGGTTGTATGGTCATTTT